GCCCCCGAGCCCCCACGGGGGCACTACATCCTTTACAGACACGTAACCCAAAACAAGCGTAACCGCTTACAGCTGATAGTAGCGAGTATGCAATTATCCGCCTAGCCTCAGGACCGTAAGTTGCTTGGAAACTTCTAAAATGCGATCATTTCCTAAACTAAAAAGTAAGTTTTCTATTATTTGAATTAAATTCGGAAACTTTTCACTTAAGTATTGGAAAAAATTTGATTAGGAATTGCACATCAATCTTGACTTCATTGCGGAATTCAACTAATAATTAACTAAATTTCTAGTTCAAAAAATAAACCTAACTTCTAGTCAAAAATTAACAAGTAATTTGAGTTTGAATTAAACAATTTTTATACAAGTTTCAAGAGAGTTTAACCAGGAGCCCCCTGCACCTACTTTTTCCTATCTCCAACAATATCATGAAAAAAAGTTCAGAGAGACTGGAAAAAATAATGAAGAGTTGGTTGAATACACCTACGCAAGCCAACCGATATTGCTAAATGTGTGGAAGATCAAGAATCGATGGCGGCCATCCTTTTTTGACAACCAGGAAACTATCTCACCGGCAAACTCTCCTACCCTCTCTTCCAATCTTCTTCCTATTAACATAGAGGATTCTGCCACCTCATCAAAAGAAGAAATGGACACGTCATTAAAGGATTAGCAACTGAACCTAGCATAACTGTACAGAACGTTGCCTTGTAACAATAGAAGAATTTGTTGAATTTTCTCTCCAGTCATTGTAACTATTTTTATTCCTTACACTCTGTATAAATTCAATCATCAATGAAATGAAAATGCGCTTCTGAATTCAGCCAAATATGAGATTCTATTATGGTATTAGAGCACTCTAGACTTATCGTCACCAACCTATGGCTTTATCCTCTCCCATTCCTCCTTCCAGTTCTTCCTCTTCTTCCACTACGTCGTCATTCTCTCATCTTGTCTCCACTAAGCTCACTCTTGATAATTTCTCTATATAGAAAGTTCAGATTACAGCTTATCTTCAAGCCAAGATCTATATCAATACGTTGATGGCACACTTTCTACCCCATCCGAAACCATTACTACTGCCAACGAGTCCTCTCCTAACCCAGCCTTTGCCTCTTGGAAGAAAACGGACAAATTAGTCCTCAGTATCCTTTTTTCTTCCATCTCTGAAGCGGTACTGGGTCATGTCCTTCCCTCCAAAACTTCTCGTGCCTTATGGCAGGCCCTTAAATCCTTGTTTTCCTCCCAATCTCAAAGCAATTCCAAGTTCGTTTCCAACCGGCCAACCTCTCTTGTGGTGAGCAAACTATCACCGACTACTTTAGGAAGGTTCGAACTCTTGCTGACATTCTTGCTACCACTGGTAATCCCCTCCCGAGGCAGACCTTGTGACTTATCTTCTCACTGGACTTGGCCCTACTTATGACTTTTTTATAACATCCATTACTACTCGAGCGGAACCCATATCTTCTACTGAACTTTATTAATTACTTCTTATACATGAAAGTCGTCTCTCTCATTCCTCACGGATTATATTCTCCAATGAACCCTCTGCCAATTTTACACAATAAGGTGGTCGAACAAGGGGCAACTACAAAGGAAGTCGTAATGACCGAAACGGAAATGGTCAAGGGAGACTACCATTTTCGAACCATGGTGGTCACNTGGTAGCGGGAGACCACCATTTTCGAACTGGGGTGATCGCTATGGGTGTGCTGCCTCATTTTCAAATGGACCTTTCAATCAGCGTCCTACCTGTCAAGTTTGCAAAAAATTTGGACATGAAGCCTTACAATGCTGATAACGATTTGATCACAGCTACCAGTATGCTGCTCCTCCCTCTTTTTCAGCCAATTTCACCAGCCCAACAATGGCTCAGACTCCACCTGGTACCCAGATTCAGGTGCAACCCATCACATCACCAATGAATTAGCCAACCTCAACCTATCCTCTGAA